AGAAGCTGATTAACTAAAAACATATGCCGGAGGGACAGAAATAAGACCAGGAAAATCATTTAAGTAGGTAAAAATTCTGTTCCACCGGGCCCCAGAGAAAGATAAAACCAAAATATGCCCACCCTGTCCCTTGGCAGAAGGCGGCCTAGTTTGTATCAGTTGTAAATGGAAATCAATGAGCTCTTCAAAGAGCACTGAAATCCTTTACCAGCACGCACTCCTATAGCGAGAGCCAAGAGGATAAGAATCGATACCTCTCCTAATTCCAAAGCCCAGATTCTTTGCAGGGGCACAGGGGCCAGGCCAGCTACAACACAGCAGCCTAGAAGAGCCTGTTGGCCTAGCTTCCTGGGAGCCTGCAGGGGCCTGAGAGCCTTCCTCCACTCCCCTTAGCCATGCCCACACCTCCTGGCCCTTGCGGGGAGCTCCCCAAAAAGGAACAGATTCATTGCCTCCTACTAGCTGATAATGGTGGAGCCTGTCTGTTCTCTGGGCTTCTCTGCTTACATGTCTTTTCTCTGGCTCGACCTTTCTGACTCATAAATAGATCTTTCTTCAACAGCCTTTCTACTCTGCCCTCTGCCTTGACTTGAATTGCATGCCCGTATGCTGGTCCATCTCATTTTGGGCAGGTCCCTTTGTCTCCTAGTTGTATTTCAAAGCCCTGTGGCCATGCTTTGATTTATCTTTAATTTCCTGTATTTAGGTAAATATGTACCTATAGTGACATGTACAGACCTCAAATGAGTTTTTAGTCAATGAGTTTGAGTGTAAGTGACTCTTTAAATCGAGATATAGAACATTTCTACTGACCTCAAAAGTTCCCTCCTGGCCCCTATTATTGAATCCCTTTCTAGAGGCAACCACCATTCTGATTCCTTGATCTTGAACTTTACATAAGTTGAAACATAGAGTTTGTACTCTCTAGTGTCTAGCCTAGGTCACTCAACATGCTTCTGAAATTCATCTGTTATTGCATATATCAGTAGTTCATTACAGCTGGGTCTTTTACTGCTTTTTTGCTGAATAGTATTCCAATGTAGGAATATACCAATATTGACTATGTTTCTGGGTTTTGGATCCAACATCTGGAACAGATTTCCTGACCCTCTCATGAATTAGAGATAGAAAATCAGGGTTCAAGAAAATGGGAAAGAGACTGTAATGTCAGTGTCATATCAAATGAGTCAATGACAGCAGTTAATAAGAAGCTTCCCTTCCTCTGCCCCTTGCAATCACCCCAACTACAGAAAACTTGCCCGAATACCAGTTTCACAAGGCAGAAGATCTAAGAGATCACAGGCAGGCCTGTAGACCCTCTGAGGGAAGAATATTATTTTTCTCTACGTTACTGTAATAAAAACCAAGCAAAACTCTCATTAATCCTTCAAGTGCAGCTCAAGTGGCATCTCTCCTCTCCAGTTTTTCCATAACGTTGAGGGAAGATGACTCAACCCCTTATTTGTGTTCCTATAAAAACTCATACAAACTTTTGTTGCAGTTTTTAACCATCTTATACTCCTTGTTTCTTTGCAGACCTGACTCCACTTTCTAAGTAAATTATAGAAGCCCCCCCCCCAAAAAAAGGACCCTCTTTTTCCTTTCCAGTGATTATACACACTTGGTGTAGAAGAATGGACACATGGATGACTGCCCAGATGGATGAGTAGATGAATGGCTGGATGGATGAAACAGTATGTAAATATTGCCATATTGCCTACAAACTCAATGATCTGTCTGGTCTTTAGCAACCCCCAGCAGTATCAGGATACTGATTTCTCTCACTATTGGTTCTGGAAGTTCCTATTATTCTACTCACCAATAGGCAAATGCCTGACTACCATCTAGAACAGGTTATATCTCCTAGCCACCAGAAAGTAGCTTCCTGATACTTCAGTAAATATTTTCCTAAGAGCTAGAGGCTGGACAGAGTCACAGTTCATCTGTGACCATGTAGCATGGAAAGCTTCGGCATCCAGGACAGGCCTGGGTACAGAATGAGTGGCACTGCTTCTGCTGTCAGCAGGCGGCTGGTTAAATACAGCCTCACAGGGAACTAAAAGGTGATGTTGAGCCCATTAGAGAGTTTTGTAACACTGTGAATAGCATTTAGTACTCAGCTGTTTCTCACCCACCTCTCAGATGCTCCCAGCAGGAAACAAGTCTGTAGCTGTCATGTTTACAGTTAATTAATGTTTATTTATATTTTTTAAACAAGGCATTCACCTGTCATGCTTTAAAATAAATGTTCTGCTCTTCAATTAGAGGTTGTCAGAGTAGAGAGGAATCCTGTTTGTTATGGGTTGAATGTGTGTATATTTAAATGTGTATCAGGTGAGGACCTCTTTCCCTGTCTCTCTTCTCACAGAGGCTAAGGCTTCTTTTCTCAGAGAACACATTCTTTCCAGGCTTTGACCATGAGATTGGTGCTCTGCTATAGAGGCCATGAACTTGCTTCTAGAGGGTAGACAGCATAGATTAAAGTGTCTTCTTACATGGGGGTAGTGGGGATTGGCTCGAAAATATTGCACACTTGCCCAGTGTAGAATAAGGATTCTGAAGGAAAAAGGACATTCTTTGTTCTCTTTGCAGTAAAGTATTGACTCAAACCCGGTACATTCCAAAGAAAGTTCTGGCTCTTGATTGGCTCCTGGGGGATCACCTGAACACTCTTGAAAGAGTCTACTAGATAAGACTGTCTTTCTTTACCTGGGGCCTTGGGTCATGCCAGATGGTTGATGCTGACAATGTGATCTATGGTGGAGGTCTTGGGCTGTTAAGTGTCTGTTTGACCTCTAATGGGGCCGGAGACTTGAGTAACTAAGATCAGCCATGTGGGGCACCATAACTATAACTGAGCCCCAATAAAAATCTGAACATCAAAGGTCAGATGAGCTTCCCTGGTTGGCAATACTCTCCATGTTATCACACATCACTGCTGAATTAAGCGCTGTCCATACAACTCCACTGGGAGCAGACACCTAGAAACCTATACTTGTCCCTCCTGGATTCTGCCCTATGCGCCCTTTACCTTTGCTGATTTTAATCTGTATCCCTTCCCTATAGTAAACTATAATTACGAGCACGACAGCTATTCTGAGTTGTTTGTCCTTCTAGGGAATCAGTGAACCAGAGGATAGTCTTGGGGACCCCAGTACCCTCTCTCAAAGAGTAAGTGATAAAGATAGATTCGGTTGCAGGGTGGAAAACAGGTCAGAACTGAATGCCAGCTCTGCCATATACTTCACGATGACCTCAGGGAAATCACTTGACCCCTTAATCTTTTTGAGATTGTAATAAGATTCTATACTAGATATTCATCTAATATTTCAATAGATATTCACTGAATGTGCCACTGTTATACTCATGTAATATATGTTCAAACAGTGGTTAAGGGTAGAGGTGATTGGCCCATCTGTGGGCTTCTCCACACTATTTTAAGTTCCTTAGGTTAGGCAAGCACTCTAAATTTGAACATATGCCCCTCCATACTTTTGCAGAGAGTATGTTCACAGTTTGTAGTCAATAAATGATCGTTTTTATACAGTTAACTTAGCTACAATTACTTCCTTCCTTATCCAGATCTTAGGCCTCTGGTTTCAAATACAGACCTTCATCAATTGATGATGAGATTATATCCTGTTAAATCCATCCCAAGTTGAAAATATCACACATTGAAAATGTATTTAATACACCTAACCTACCAAACATCAGAGCTTAGCCTCACCTACTCTACCCATGCTCAGAACACTTACATTAGTGTACAGTTGGGTGAAATCATCTAACACAAGGCCTATTTTATAATAAAGTGCTGAATATCTCACATAATTTATTGAATACTATACTGAAATTGAAAAACACAACGGCTGTATGGGTACAGAATGGTGGTACGTGTATGGGTTGTTTATCCTCCTGGTCATTTGGCTAGCTGGGAGCTATGGCTTGTTGCAAGAAGCCACTGCCCAGCATCACAAGAGAGGATCGAACCATGTGTCTCTGGGAAAAGATCGCAATTCAAAATTTGAAGTATGCTTCCTGCTGAACATGAATCACCTTCACACCATAGTAAAGTAAAAAAATCATAAGTGGAACAATCAGTAAGTCGGGGGCTGGACTGTTTGTCATCTGTTTTCCCTCAATTGTACAGTTGCTAAAGCCTACACATAAAAGTACCTGGAACGGTGCCAGAATCAACTCTGGAACTGAGTAAGTACTACTTGAACATGAATATGAACATCTAAAGCATTTCTTCCAATCACTACTTAACAGATATATACATATTCTTTTTGACCAATAACTTAAAAACCAGAAAAATAAAAATGTAGAAAATGGGATAAAAGGCAATTTTTGCACAGCTTTGAATCAATGGTTTTCCCCTATTGTGGATTAAATTGTGTCTCCCCCCTCCAAAAAATAAAAAAATATGTTGAAGCTCTAATCCTCAGTTCCTGTGACTGTGACTTTATTTGGAGGCAGGTCTTTGAAGAGGAAATCAAGTTAAGACAAGGCCATACTCATTATGGGTGGGCCCTAATTAGGTCACCCTAATCCAATAACTATTGTCTTTAGGAGAAGAGGGAAATCTGTACACACACACACGCACACACACACACACAGGATGGCCATGTGAAGATAGAGGCAGAGAGTTGAGATTGGCTGCCACAAGCCAAGGGATATTTGGGACTCCCAGTAATCAACAGAAGAACAGGAAATGGAGGGTTTTTCCTAGAGCCTTTGGAAGACACCATGTCTTGCTGACACCTTGATCTTAGATGTCTAGCTTCTAGAAAAGTGAGAGAATGTGTTTCTGTTGTTTTAAGCTACTCAGTCTGTGGTGCTTTGTTATGGCAGCCCTAGGAAATGAATACATCCCCCATTAAAGTCTGTCACACATAGGCTTTGGCTTGTATCTGGGTTTCTGTCCTTGACAGAAAGTAAGCTGCCTCGTGAAAGATGGAAGGAACCAGAGAAGAGTGAGGAGGCAGAAGGAAGTGACTCACCCTGGGACTTCGGCCAACACTGCTCAGGTAGTACAGGAGTCCTTTGGCATGGTAGATTGTTGGCTGAAGATGAGCACTGGGAGAGAGCCATTGTCTGTTTAAATCCTCCCCTTTCAGTGAGCATCTGTGGCTGCAGGAACAAACAAGGAGCAAATAAATACTCGTCGAGAAGAAAATAACTTGAGAAAATAAAGCTCGACAAGACAAACAAACTAATGAATCCAATGTCCCTCTGACTTCTGCCCAATTGGCATCAATTGCAGATGTCCAGAAAGCTGCAGATCTGTCATTTAAGCTCATGAAGTGTTGTGATTATTCTCAGCCCCAAAGAGAACCGGAAGCCATATTTGACTTGATATTGGGTTATCACAGTTTTAAGACGAAGTCTGGGAAATATAGTTCCCCATTATACACATCCACAGAGAAGGAATTCGATAAATTTCTCTGGGCTCTGGGACCTTCAATTCTACAAAAAATTAAGTTGAGCTCAAACTGTCATGCTGGGTGTGTTATATACACTATTTCCAGCTGGCCCAATAACTCTGCCAGGTCGATAGTATTCATCCCAGTGAAGGGACTGAAGTGTAAAAACGATTACATAAATGGCCCAAGATCACATAACTAAGAGCTAGGCTTTACATCCAGGTCTGTTTGCCTCTGAGAAAGCATAAGGCTCTTTCTCCTATCACGGGGCTTCCTCCCTATCCATACAGATGACACAGAACATTTGACATTTACCCAGAGAGCCAGAGTATCTTTTTCAAAGACATCATCATGGCATACTGGCACTAGAAATGAGCTGAGAGTCATCCATCCCCTCATTTGGGAAATAGAGATGTTCACATTGGAAAGTATCGAGTTACTTTACAAAGTTGACGCAGCTGGTTATGATAGTGCGGCCTGCAATTCAGGGGGAAGCCGAGATGCTGAGCTGTCAGGGGGAAGCCGAGATGCTGAGCTGTCAGGTAAGATCATCCAAAAAAGAGACACTCAAAGATGACCAAACGCAGCCAGCCCGTGCTCAGGGGAGGCCCCCAGGAGGCCCACTACGATGTTATTTACTCAAGACAGCTAACAAGAGAGATGCCCAGCATCCCCATCAACCTTCCCCCATGCCCAGCCTACACCTCCTGCGACCCTTGTTCTTCCATACTCCAGCTCCCTCAAACAGATCACGGATCCCTCTGAGCAACCCTGTCTGCTGTGCCTTTGCCAGGACTGCCCACAGCTCCATCCCTTTCCAATTATGCAACTTTCAGGGAAAATTTCCTGATCCCCAGGCCATTCCATTCTGCTCCTATTTGTTGCAAGAGCTTCCAGAGGTCCCCTTAATTCTCATAAAACCATTTTGGGTGGGGTTTTACTGTTATTTAGCTATTTTTACATCTCTTCCCTTGGACTGTGAGCCTCCTAGGGGCAGGAACAGTGCTTTGTTACCATCAAAACCCTAATAGAGTAACTGTCAAAATCAGTATTCAGTAAATAAGTTGGAATGAATAAAAATGCACTAGCATTTAAACATAGAATCAGATACGTTTTCTGTTTTTTTTTTTTAAATCACTATTTTCAATAAATCTTGGAGGTGGAAGGAAAAAGGTTCAGCCTCCTTCTTTCACCACTTTCTCATCTTCATGTTTCTGAAATTATCTTTAAATATTAGTTTCCTGCTGCTTGTCAGCCTCCTCTTACAGCTCACTGGAAACCAGAAATCTTTAGATTAATCATTTATCCTGATCTCACCATTAAAACATTTTGACTTGAGAAATGGTAGGTTTTTTCATCTTCTTCTCTGACTTTTTTGTTCTTTTCTTGCTATTTTTTTTCCTCCCTTCCTCTTTTTAATAGCAATGACATCTAGAAATAGCATTTATCTGTTCTGCCTGGCGACCAGGGATGTAGGCAAAATATAAAGGAGATCTTTAATAGTGATAGCAACAGGAAGAAGCAGGCATCCCAGACTTGCTCCTGAGCATATTTGCTGTGTTTAAATGAATTTCTTTTCTCAAATCAAGGTACTTGCAGGCACAACATCCCTGAGCCTTGGGACACTAACTGTTCTGTGTCTCTCCTTGCCTTGACCTGATTTCTCATCAACACTGGGGACTTTTTCTTTTCTTGGTAATATCAAACATGATAAAATCAGTCAAGACCCCTTAAAAGCATTTCCATTTGTACAAATGAAAATGCACGCAACCTATGTGTCCACTAGCCATCAATTCCATGTCAACTCTCTCTCTCTATGTGATCCGTGGAGACCAAGTGCAGGGACAATGTCTACATGGGTAAAAGCTCTTAGGTCACCACATAGCAAAACTATCCTTCTGGATTACAAATTCCAAAAGTAAAAAAAAAATGAAGTTTGTGCTACAATCAGAATAAGCACTGGGTTTGGGTTAAGAAGACCCACTCACATCTCTCAGCCCTGTCACCAGATATGGGATTTGGGATTCTCTTTGAGAGTCAACATTCCCATAGGCAAAAAAATATATAGATATATGTAACCTTGCTTCCCCGAATTATACTGAGGATCAAGCGAAATGGTATCTCCATGGGGAAATATCTATATAATCCTATCTCTACCCATGTCTCTATCTATGTCACATCGATACCTATACCCATGTGCACATCCCCATCTCTCTCTGAATTTACATCTTCATCCCTAACTATAATGCTCAGGGATGCAGAGCAACACTTAGACTATGTTCATTGGTTCCTCACCTCATCCTAATTTCTTTTCATTATGAAGACTAATGAAGGAGCTCTATGCAGGTTGATTGGAAGGGATAATCTTGGCTAGGAACCCCAAACAAGAGGCTGTGGTCAGTTTCAATTACCAGTTCACTTGAGCAGACTTAAAGGTGGAAGCAATGAAACTAAAAAGAAAAGAATTCATCTAAGAAAAAAAAATATGAGGGAATAACAATGTAAATTGCTAACTGGACTTTGGGCTATTAAAGAGTACAGAGGGGGCTGGCTGGTGGATGGCACCTAAGATTATCCAATTACATGAATTTGGAGAAATCTGACCCCTGTGAGACTGAGGGAAGCCCTTAGTTTCGGGTAAATTTTGTTTTGCAGGGTTGGAGACAGTGATGCATTCCCTTTGTACCCATAGGTTGTGTGGATTTGGAAGCCCATATGTTTGTATTTGTATTCAGGGCTCTCTGCGTGGCTATGATTTGGAGAGTATCTCTGTGTATGCCTATTGCTACAGCAGTCCCTAGATCTATGCAATTGCAGATTATCACAATATGTACTACACGTAACTTGAGTGCTTTTCCTTTTAAAGCAAATCCATTTGCTTCCAATCTCCAAATCCATTTGGCATTTTGTGTTAATAATATCAGAGATTCATGCAGTCAGAGATACTGCTGCTATTCTTCCCAGAGATTTGTTTTAAGCATTTGAAGATGAAACATACCCAATCTTATTATCTACTGTAGCATTTTTGAAATGACAGCTGCTCCCTCCATGTGGAGAGAATCAGCAGATGGACAGCTACGACTGGCTGGCAATAAATTCAGTGCCTCTAATTTCTGAAAAGGGGTCACCCCTCAAATAGAGCTTAAAGTCCTGCTTTGCATATAAGACTAAAATAGTGAGCATTGCTACTTTTTTCTCCACTGAAAACTGCAAACTTACAGAGGAAAAAGAAAAAAGGAAAAAAAATTTCTTTTTGGTTTTAATAGGTGAAGCTATTTGATTCAACTAGTCTTCCCTGTTTTCAAAGTTTTAGTTTAGTTTAAGCCTATGCTTATATGCACTGAGTATGCTGAGCTTGGAGTCTACTTAGGATTCTCTCTCCCTCTCCCTCTGCACCTCCCCCCCCCACCCACTTGCGCACACACTCTCTGTCTCTCTCTCTAAAAAACAAAAGAAAAAAAAAAGAAACTGTTACAATAACAGTATTTATTAAAATGTTTAGTTTAAGACTATGCTTATATGCACTGAGTATTCTTGGACAAAACCATCTGGTTTGTCCAGGAATCTTGCAGTTGGTCCCCCTAAAGCTAGATCTCAAATTCTAAAAGGTGTTTCCAAGGTAGGATGTGGGCCAAAATTTGCCCTGTTTCACATAGACTTTGAACGTTTTAGGTAGGACGTGTACCTTCCCACCAGCCTGCCTATTTTTACCACTGACTGCTCTATATACATATTATGTGCCTGCTCTTTTTAGGCATTAGCATCCTGTGTCCAGGAAGTCTTAAACCTGTGGTTTTTGGTAGGACATATTTCTTTCCTTGGGAAAAAAAAAAAATGGAAAAAAGGCCTCCGATCTCCTGAAAATATGGTCAAACAAAAGCATCTCAGCTGAAGCTATTAAACAGTGAATTAGTAGTGCCAGTCCTAAGAGGTCATGGAATGGTACCCTGGATAAAGAATGGTCTCAAAAGCCGAACAACCAAAAGGAAATGATGTCACTAGAATGCATTCTTTTAACATTAATTGCATATTTTCTTATCTGCTAAGAATCGGGATTAACCTGGCCAGAGACTAGGAAACAAGTAATATAACTAAGGGTCTTGACAAGCAGACCCTGAACGACCAGGACCCCTAAAACAAAGTAAGGACCACAAGTCAGAGAGAGAAGGAGGAAAAGCGAGTCACTTCCTAAAAGAGAATCTATCAAGCTTCAGTCAGACAATAAAATGATTCAAAAATCCCCTATCCATCCGTGACTGATAAATGGAGAGACAGGGCCCATCAGACTGGATGACTGATGCCCGGCTTGATCATCTTCGTGCCCACTGCCCCCCCAAGCAGAGCCAGCTCCGAAGTCTAAAGAGAAGCTGTGTGTTTGAGATTTAGCAAACATCTTCACCATTCACTGCACATCCTAGTAACAGGAGGCAGCATGGGTGCAGGAGGAGAATATTTATAAAGGTAAAGAGACACATGGAAGCTTCAGGAATAAGACAGAACAGCATGGGGCACTATCAGCCAGACACCGCACCCTGAGCTTTCTAAATAAACACCGCTTGGATAGAGAAAAAGGGAAAACCAACAGCAGCTTCATCTGAAGATTGCGGTTGCTATAAAGCTACAAATGATCAGGGTTGCCAAGGACACGTTAGCATAGTCAGGGTATTTTTTTGTCATGAAAAATGCTCAGAGAGTCAACAGTCTAGA